CAGATGGAAGGATGGTGTAGATGAGGATGGTAGAAAGATAGGCGCAGCAAACTGGCAACGGTTGGCAATGGATAGGACTGCCTGGCATAATAGACGTGGGAAGGTCGAGGCCCTTTCATAGGGCTATAGTACCATTGATGATGATGATGATATAGTTAGTAAAGAAGGAGTGGTCGTGGATAAGGGAAAAATCGGTTCCATTAAGGAATGGCCAGAACCAACGGACAAGCATCAAGTAAGAAGTTTGCTTGCACTATGTACTTACTACCGAAGGTTTATTAAGAAGTTTGCAGATCACTCTGCAGAAGTTTTGCTTGAGATCACACAAGCAAACTGGGATCTGTTTAGAACCACTGTTAAGGGAAAAACCGATGAATTATTTTTTAACAATGATATAGATACAGATGTAAAACTATTTAATAACTGTTTAACTGAATCTGCTGAGGAATGCATTGGTAAATGCGCGATTGATCCTTCCAAGAAACCTGTTCGGTAGTGGAATGAGTCGTGCAAAATAGCTGACAAACAATGCAAAAAAGCATTAAATAAATTCCGAAAGACCCGTACTACCACGGATTTAATAAATTTTAAAAAACTTAGGACCAATTCTAGTCGTATTTTAAAAGAAAGTAAGAAAGCCCCATGGAATCAGTACGTTAGTTCAATCACAAAAGATAACTTACCCTTGCAAATATGATCACAGATAAGACGTATGAAAGGTCTTAATACATCCATTAAAATTGCCGCCATCTCCCTGTAGGATCAAACAGTTACCGATGATAAACATATTGCAGATATACTTGCCTCTCACTTTTCAGATAAGTCAAACATTCCGAATCTTTCCAATAACTCAGATACCAACATTTCCAGTTCTAAAATATTTTCTGACACTAGCTCTATGAATCTTCCTTTTAATCTCTTAGAATTAAACGAAGCAATATCTTCACTAAAAAACTCAGCAGTCGGTCCTGACGATATCCCATCAATATTCTTAAAAAATCTTTATCCCGGCACATATCTCAAACTGCTAGAGTTATATAATAAGATCTGGTCTCAAAACCTGTTCCCAACATTACGGCGACAAGCAACTACAATTCCTATCAAATAGAATGACTCGTCTCCAAATCTTCTAAATTCATATAGACCAATTTCTCTCACTTGTTCACTATGTAAACTGTTAATATACGCTTATTATGGTATCTAAAAAGAAATAATATTCTTGACTCATTCCAAACAGGCTTCAGATCAGAAGTACAATGGATAAACTGGTCACACTACACACTGACATTGTTAACGAATTTTCGAATAGAAGTGAAGTCATAGCAGTAACTTTAGATATCCAAAGTGCCTTCGACACTGTACAAAGACCTTTAATCCTAAGAAAATTAAGGGAATATAATTTAACTGGTAACATTTATTTATTTTTTAAAAATATTTTAACAAATGGATATTTTAGAGTATTAACAAATGGAAAAATATTAAAACCACAACGATTTGCCTCAAGGCTCAGTTTTAAGCACTTCCTTATTTTTACTTAGCAATGACTTTTTCTCGTATATAAAGGAAACTGTACCCAAAGAATCAATTTACTCAAATCTCTTGCTAGCTTCTCTTGGGGAGCTAATGAAGAATCTCTCCTTAAAATATATAGAGCGTTAATTCGCTCTAAGCTAGATTATGGCAGTATTCTTTATATGGCATCTAGTACCTCCCTACTAAAGTCTCTAAACACGATTCAAAATACATCCCTACAACTATGCCTTGGTGCTTTTAGATCAAGCCCCACTGAAAGTTTTGAAATCCAAGTAACCAGGTAATAAATCTAATCAATCCCATAGAACCTCCCCTAGCAAACGCATCCAATCAGTCTCTCTCATTACCACAAATATTATCTCCTTTATTAGATTCCATCAACCTTTCCAATACTACTTCTATTTATACCCCCAAGACAGCTCCATGGATGCACAATCTTCCAATTTTCAATACGGATTTATGCAGATTCGACAAAACAGAAACCAAAAACTCAATCCTTATAAAAACCTTTCAAAACATCCTCAACTTAACACAATTTGATAAAATTTTATACACCGATGCGTCCAAGAATGAAGACTGTGCGATTGCCTAAAAGTTGTAGTATCTACTCCGCAGAATTATATGGAATACTCCAAGCCTTAAAGACTTCAATCCATCCAACTTCAAGTGAAAGCATAAAAATTCGCCATTTGTACTGATTCTCTTTCCTCGATTCATTCCATAAGATGCATTTTCTCGAAAAACCCCTTAGTCCAGGAAATCCACGCCATATGTAACCAACTATATTCCGCTAACATAAAAGTCATAATGATCTGGACTCCATCATACGTTGGTATATTGGGAAACGAAAAAGCAGACCAAGCCGCTAAAGCAGCATGTTCTTCCAACTTAGCCTTCAAAGAGGTCCAAATCCATAAGGATCTTAAAATATTGATAAAACAAAAAATCCTCAGCTCATGGGCAGACCTGTGGAGTAAAAAAAAACTAAGCTGCATGACGTTCAAACCAACTTATCTCAGCGTCTCTAGCGTCAATATCTCCTCTATGAACAGTAAAGAAAACCCTGCAGTATGTCACTACTGTAATAGTCTCCTTTCCATCAAACATGTGATAGTGGACTGCTGCCATTATGATTCTTCCAGAAACAAGCACAACCTAAAAGGAAATCTAAAAGACATTCTAGGTGTTCCAAACAGTTTTGACAGTGTTCTTAAATTTTTAAAATTAACAAGTTTAATTCAGTTAATATAAACAGTGCATAGTGATAAGCTTTAGTGTTTTAATTTTTGTTAGTCATCTAGCAAGTGTCTACTCGCATTGAGCACGTGTTATAGTTCTTCAGATTTTGGTTGGTTTTTATTATAGATCGAGCTAAGGTACGTAATATGAATAGAGATCAAGCTAATTTATATTTTTACGTAGTTAAATAATTTCTTCAAAATTCGCCTATTTTTATGGTTGTATCTAATACATTGCGTTTTTTACAATGTCATTAGGGATGGTAAATGAGCTTTTTTGGAGCGTAAATTAGAGCAGTTTATCAGTAGAGTTTGAAGATGGAGTTACTGTCACAGAGTTTCCAGACCAACAAATAGAACCTATTGAGGGGTCAACTATCGTCGATGTCGATGTGGAGGTTGAGCCAATCACCACTCGAATAAAGAATGAATTGTGGAAGAAAAAAAATTATCCATTGGTGAACTTGCGAAGACTTTTAGAGGACATACCAACATTCCCAATGCTATAATGGATTTCTCAACTCCCTACGCTTTTTTCAAGTACTTTTTTGACAATGAGTTGATCGAAAAAATTGTATCAGAGTCCAATACCTACATAGTTATTCAAAAGGATCCGAGTCAACCTGCCGGATTGACCACCTTAGATATGAATTAATACCTCGGAATGCTCAATTGTCGTAGTTATGGATCCAATTCCCAAGGCTATCCGCTAATAAAAAACGTAATGAATGAGAACAGATTCGAATTTATCAGGAAATGTATACATTTCAACGACAATACGAGTTTGAATTAAAATAATGTGAATCGAGATCGTCTTCATAAATAACGGCCCCTTGTCGATCATTTGAATAACAAATTCCATAGCATACCATTAGAACAAAAGCTTTCAGTAGATCAGCAAATATGCGCCTCAAAAGGAAGGCATTATATAAAACAATATATGCCTGCTAAACCCCATAAGTGGGGATACAAACTTTTCAATATATACACTGGTACATAAAACGATAGAAGGAATCGACGGGTAAATGAACCAAACCTAGGAGCAAGTGCCAATGTGGTGAGATTATCTAGGATCATCGCGGAAAATCAGAATTATGTTGTTTACTTTGACAACTATTATACTTCATTGCCTCTACTACATTATCTTGCTAACAAAGATATATATTCCCTCGGCACTGTTAGACGAAACCATATTCCAAACTGTAAGATGCCATCTGAAGATGAAGCAAAAAAATGGATCGTGGGACTTCAGTTGAGTATGTGTGTGACTTTGAAAGCGTGAAAATATCGTCAGTGGCCTTGGGAGACAATAAGACTGTTTATTTGACAAACATATGCTGAAGAATTGCCGAAAGGAAATGTTGAAAGGTTTGATAGAAAAATAAAGCAAAAAATCAACATTGAATGCCCTAAGTTGGAAGGAATATAACCAACATATGGGAGGAGTGGACCTCATGGATAGCCTCATTGGACGCTACAAAATCAAAATTAAATAAAAAAGTGGTATATGAGACTATTCTATTATCTTCTTGATATGACGCTTGTAAATTATTGGCTTATTTACCGTCGATGTTCCATAAAAAAGGAGGCAGAGAAGTGTATGAAACTTGCGGAATTTCGAGCTGAAGTGGCATATTGCTTATGCAAGTAATTGTTTACTGAAGAGAGGAAGGCCATCAGATCTTGAAAAAGAAATAGCAGAAAAAAAGTAAAAGTCAACAACAACAACGTATATTCCCCCAAGAGGCGTAAGGCTTGATGGGTCGCACACTGGCCATTGTACAAAGACATAAGACAGAGATGCAAGGTGCCAAAGTGTACTTATTTTTCATATATTTTAAGTTCAAAATGTGGACTATATCTTTGCCTGAACAAAAATAATAATTGTTTTCATAAATTCTTTTTTTTTTTTTTTGTTTTTAATATTAAAAAATTGTTTTTTATTCGATTTAGAAACTAAAACCCCTAAATATATAATTATTTCAAACCTAAAAATACATACGAATACTCGTGACTCATTACTATTTATGTACATCACAAAATGGACTTAAATTTCATTTTAATTAATATTATAGCTTTGATCAAATTCCAAAATATTCGGTTATTAGTTTTTTCAGCAGTAATTTAGGTCCAGCAGCTGTTCCTACCAAAATGTATGCAACCCAAACTACTGAGACGTGTAATATTATAGGGAATTTCATTTTTAAAATTAAAATAATCTAGTGATATTTATAGATGGTAGAAAAGGAAGTTCCATTGGAGGTTCGTAGAGTTCAAAAGTATTAAAAAAGTGTCTCGGTTAAAATAGTGAAAAGTGTATTGTGATAAATATGGCAAAAAGCTACGATTATTTATTCAAATTATTATTAATCGGCGATTCAGGGGTAGGGAAAACTTGTGTTTTATTTAGGTTTTCGGAAGACGCTTTCAATACAACATTTATTTCGACAATAGGTGAGTCAGTATTATATTTATTTATATACCTCAACCTGTAGACCTTCAAGCATATGATACGGAAGGTTACGTTTGAATTTTTGATGAATAAAATATCGTTAGACCATATGCACAATTTGCAAAGTTTCAGTCTACTTTCATTTTGGTAGGTTAGGTCAAAACAATCTTCTAACCACACCTAATAAGGAATTATATTCAAAATAAAGTATTAGAGGTCCAATTCTTAAAAGATCTGTTGTCTTAATTACTATAACCACTGTAGCTTAAATTCTTGGAAACTTTCTATGACTAATGATGGTAGTAATTTACGAGTAATTAAACAAAGTGTCAGTAGTTGTCATAAAATTTGGTGTATATTTTATAACCAAATAACTACTTACATTAAATAGTAAAATCCTGGAATTTAAGTAGTGACATTTAATTATAAAATAATTTTTAATACAATTAGTTGGTTCTACCTTTCATTATCATTCCAGTTTGCACTTTTTTGTTTTAACATTTCTTATCACCATTCTTAAAGAAATGGTATAAAAATCAAAAATGACCTTAAATTCAAAGCTTTTGTTGTGGGGCATATAAATAACTTCTTTATTTACCAGAGTGTGAATCAATTAGTGAAATTATTCCTTGTCATTAATTAATATTAAACTACAAAATAACAAAAACATTTTTTGTTTATTTGCTAGCATAAGAATGTTTTATTTGTATGGTATTCTTTATTAGCTTAAAAGTAAATTTTTACTGTTGTCATCAGTTTACAATTAAATCATTTTCTAAAACAATCAACTAAATGCCACTACCACAATCAAACATGATTGTAGTAGTGGCTAGAGTAGCTCATTTGAATGAGTTTCCAGCTTTTCGAGGTCTTATACTTATTTTATAATGTTTCCCAAAATGATATCTGTGTGGTGTTTTCTTAGTGCAACCCATCTAGATGGATTTATCTTGAAAACTACTAAATATAGGCTGCTTACTTGCATACCCTTCATAGATAGATATTTTATCGATGTCTTCACTGATCATCTAATTTAATTAATTTAGTTTTGAAAGAACATTTTCTTTTAAATTTTCTGTTGCTTTTTTACTAGTATGCATTATTTTCAGGATAGTAGTTGAAGTAGGTTTGAATATTGAAAGAAACAAATCTTTATTTTGCTAAAATAGTAATTTCATGCCAAATTAGTCAAGTTAGATATTTACAATACCTTCCAAGTACAATTTGACAAAAATTTTTCACAACAGTCATCAAAAGGTCTCTTTGCCTTATCCCTATATGGGGTCCACTTCCCTAATGATATTCCTCCATAAAAAAAGGTTCTGAACTATTTTCTTGTGGCACATTCAAGGTTAAAATTAAGTACTTTGTTTGTATGTGAATAAACCACAATTGATTGTAATGGGAATTACATTGTTAATTTTGTTTTCATGTTTTGATTTCCAATCTAGAATTCTTTTCAAAATTTTTATGTCAACCAAATCTATGATCTCTCTCCCATATTTTCATGGTGTGACCAAGTTGTTTTATGGCCCTGTAGTTTGTGCATGTTATATATCGCCCTTAAAGCCCACACTTCCCCAGGAATATCATCTGATCCAACTGCCTTACCTTTCTTTATTCTTTGTAGTGCTTGAACCACTTCCTTGTTTGTTGTGACCATTAATGTTAATGCCCCCATTGGCTCAACTAGTTTTCTATCACATTCTTTATTGAATAAACTCTCAAAGTACTTTTGATATTATCCCTATCTAATGAGGTTGCTATTCCAAGGCCTAGTCCTCTAGGCATTACTTCATATCCCCTCATGGATTGTCCCACATGTGCATTAAAATCACCTATTACCTCTTCACTGATGGAATATCCCTCACTATGTCTCTTAATTGATCATTGAAAGCTTTTGTTTCATGCTCACTCAGACCAATTTGAGAGGCATACACATACACACAACAAGAACACTTATTTTTATCAAGTACAAATTTCACTGTCAGTATTCTACTGCTCATTGTTACATCATATACTGAGTTATCTTTTGTTTCTGTATCAGCATTTATACCACTTCATTTCTAATATTACGTCTCCATACCACATATTTTTTTACATACTTGAAGCTCCTTCCATACACATACAGAATCACTAATTGTACATGTATTCTCACGTTGTATTCCATTGAACTGCAATGGGTACAACAAATTTTAAATTTCCAGATTTGCAGTAACATGCATTTGCAAAATATTATTACGGAAGTATTTAACAATACTAAGTAACTATGTGTTTAGTAATATTGGTATTGGATGATTGGCAGTCGTTAGCCAGAAGGTTTAAAATATGCACAGAGCAGCTGTATGTAATAATATCAAGATCTAGCTACTTCTCTAGTAGGAAACACATTTTCTTTATGGTAGCACCATTATCTATAACTACTGAGTAAACTTTGCATTTCAATTCGCCCTCACACTTCTTAACGCTATCATATGTAATTGAATCAAGGTAATCTGCAGTCTGAGCATGGCCTGACGTACCAAAAGTTTCTCATAGATAAACTTCACCAGACTTTGTGGTAACTGTAACACACACTATGGTATCGTTATAGACATTCAACCAACCATCAAAACCTAATCAAACAACTTCATTTTGTATAAAATCACGAAATTTTTCCATTTCCTCATCATAAATATTGTCAAGCATGTGTCCGCTTATATCTCTTCAACTAGGTGGCTTGTACATAGGTTGAAGTTCTTCTATGATATGAATAAACTGGATGAACAACATGTTTAAATGGCGAATTTGTAGTTTATAAGATTATTTGTTAAATTAAGAACTGAAATAATAGCACATCAAAGTGGCAATTTTGACAAAAATAAAATCGAGTATTTAATGAAACAATTCAGTCTAGTTCAAACTTCCGTGTTGGAAACAACCATCGAAGAAGTACTTGTGTATGATTATCTTTTCTTTTTGTAAATAGTACCTATAATTAGTATAAGCCATTCGTTATCAAGAAATTTAAAAACAATAATCAATGTTGTTATAATTATCCAACAAGGAACTAATACAAATTTAATTACTACATTTATTAACATAAATATAAATAAAATAGTCCGTTATAATAACAAAATATGCCAGAATGTCTTAATAATTCCAAATTGTAGTTAGTGTAAAACTATGGATCACCAACTAGATAACCAAGATGTCACTAGTTATCAACACATTGAGGACATTAATCCAGCCATTAGAAAATCCTGCCTAGCCCTGACTCCTCCACCTGGAAGAAATCAAAAAGACAGTTACAACTCATTAGATGAACAGCAGAAAAAATTTAAAACATGCAACAAGTTTCTATCCACTACAATTCACTACCAGTTAATACTGTCGTTAAAAACTTAGGAATTCATTTGGATAGCAAAGTTAATTGGGGTATCCACATCTGGAAGAAACCCCTTCAACTCAGCTTAATCTACAGGAAAATGTATTGGTACCGTTCCCGTCATAAAAAACTGGTACAACTCTTATAATCAAAAATCGTATTTTTTAAGTTGTGTACGTTGATCTTGTCAGATGTGTCATTCCGATTTCTAGGGCACCGTTGCCAGTTCAACGAAAATATGATATAAAACCAGATAAAAGCAAGGCAGTTTTGAGTATACTAAAAACTAAAACATTATCGAGCATTCTCGATCAGTGAGTCACATTAAATTTGTTTAAACATGCATTCTAAAAAATTCTCATATTAATTTTGTAATTTTCCATCATCTCAATTAAATACCCATACATTGATTTGTGTTTTATAACAATTTATGAAAATATTTCAATTCAAAAATAATGACAGATAGACAAACTTTAAATTATTATAATAAAACATTACAATGAGATATTGGATTGTAACTGTTACGTTTTGAAAAGCGTTTTTCGCACCGAATATTTTCTAGTATATAATACGTAGGATAAAGCATAATGTTAGTTTTTCACATTTTTTATAGTTCTTTTAATAAATAATAAATTAATCTTGGTAGTTTGCCTGTTACAAAACTTATTGACACAGAATACAGTTCGAGTTGAGTAGGTAATTGAAGATAAAATTACAGTAGATCCATTCCAATGTTCCCTGTGCTAATACCCTAGTTTAAAGATCTTTCAAACCTTTTGGATAAAAACTCTATCTCTGCTTATTTAATTTCTTAGATTCAGTTTTTTTGGTAATGATATAAATAATACCTATCTAAAAATTTTATACATTTTTGAACGTTATTTTTTTATTTAGATTTAGTGCAATTCCGTTATCTGTACTGGCAACAACGAATTGATTTCTGAACACAGGTTTACACGGAGAAAAAAAAGTGTACCAGTTTTATATGACGCGAAGTGTACATGAGTCGAAAATCAAATCTTATCCTGGAGAACAAACTTCTGATATATAAATTTATTTTAAAACTGATATGGCAATATGCAGCACAAATCTGGGGTACAGCAAGTAATACCAAGATACAAAAACTTCAATGATTCCAATCGAAAGCTTAGTGCCAGATCTGCAATGTCCCTTGGTACATTACGAACCACAGATTACACCACGATTGTAAACTCTGTATACAAGACCAGACTATCGTGCCATCCAAATCCGCTGGCCACGGATCTGCTCAACATTTCACACAAAAGAAGATTAAAACGACCAGACCCTTTGGAAATCTAGTAAATATGGAGAAACAGAGCATTGTGTCATAGTGCAGTGAAATAACAAGTTTTTATTCTGGTGTTTTCTAAATCTTTTCTTGATTTTTTTCCATTTTTTTAGTCTTGTAATACTTATATGTGTGTCAGTGCTGTTTATCTGTATTAAACTTTGTTAAGTTGAAGTTTAAATTAATTGTTAAATCATATATTATTTATTTTATGTCTTATCTGGGTGCTTGCCACTGGGCGGCTTCCCATCATGTTATATACATGAATTATACATATTGCTTATTGTTTGTAATGAGACAGATTACAATAAACATTGGATGTTAAA